AAATTGTTATTAATAATTAAATATTTTATTTTTAGTTTCAAAATGAAGTAAAGTTAAAATTTTTACAACTACATAYAACATTGATTTTTTTCTACTTTAACGGTGTTAATAAACACATATTGTCTAGGAAATATTAGAATGGGTCAACACATCTAGATATATGTATGTACACAATATATAGCAAAGGCTTTCAAATTCAAGGCGATAAGTAGCCAGTCAAGAAGAAAAAGTTAGCAAAATCCAATTATTGTGGTGGTTTGATTAAAGAACTGTTTAAAAATGAAGAAACACATGCAAACACTGCATCGTCCAACGCTTACATTTTATACAAATTGCCAATTTTACGAACGCTAGCGTACCTCCCCAACAAAAACCAACATACAATTTTACTTTTYTCCGTTTCCGAACGCTTTGTTGCAATCCAATACTGTTTTATTAAACTTTATTTATTATTAAATATCATTTTATATGCATATATGCAGGTATATGTATGTATACTCTTTTAGAACAATGACGATAACTACAAATCTAACACATTGTCCCATTATCGTGTTTTGATGTACATACGTTTTACTTGGGCGTATGTATGTTAGTTCTTAATATTGTATTTATTAACTATAGGCTAACAATTTTTGATTAAAACAAAGAGACAAAATGTTTTTTTTTTTGTGTTAAATATTTTGTGTTTACACATATGGCCAAAAAGCAACCTTTTATTTTACATTTATAAAGAAAATACTTTTAAAAGTTAACAGAAAGTCGAAAGAAGAGCAAGATCAAATCAATAACATAAAAAAAACAACAATGATAAAAGATTTATAACTTACAAAGATTGTCTCCACCACATTTAACAGCAGCAACATGGCAGGCASCGCAGAATGCAAAAAAAGATTTTGTAATTTTTTTCGACATAACTCTTTATGCAATGCTGTAGTTTAGATAGCAGCAGTTTAAAATATATTGTATTAATATTACAAATTTAGTTATTAATTTGCAGCAGCAATATTTCCAACATTTTTTAAAATTTTTTTAAATATAACATTTAGATTACTAAAAATTGTGGCAAACATATACACACACTGATTATAATGAATAAATTAGTGAGTTACCACCAAAAAAGCAACACAACAAAACTTTTAAGTACTTGCAAATACTTTGAAAACAACACTACTGGAACATCCTTCTATACACACGAAAACTGTAGTAGAATATATTTTCAACTGTAAAGTCCCCAACACTAATTTTTTGTTCAACCAACAAACAAACAACTACTTGATTTCCACGCTTTTTACAAACAATGCGTAAAAATTCGTTTTCAAAACACATCTTACTGGTGGGCGCTGCATTTCGCACAGTGAAATTAACCACTTTTCTGTTATGCTAATAGTCAACATGAAAAGCATTTATTTCAGTGTTTGTAATGCGGCAATGCTGAATTTTTGTTTGCCCACCATTTAACAACATGTTAAGAGCACGAATTTAGTGCAATTCACATTTTGCATACTACATAATTATTATTGCAAATTACGAAAGAATATTACAACACTGCCCATATCTGCCCGCACGTGCAGTAAACGTAATACAATGTCAGCGAAAAAATTTCATTTGCTAATCCGTTACTGCCGCCTGCCGCCGATTTGCGCTTATTTTGGCGAATAAATGTGGTTCYCGTAGAGTTGTAATATAAAGTTTTTGTTATATCTAAACAAGATTCTCTATTGCTATATAAGTTGGTTAACATTAGGCAACAAACAATGATTAAAGTGCATCATAACTCAATAAAAGTATATAAAGGAAATCAAACCAGAGGTAGCAAACCGATGTTATAGAAAACAAAAAAAAAAACGGTTTAAAATTTCCATTGAAAGTTCAAAAAACAAAAGTATATAGTAGCATCCGAACAAAACAAACATTCAAATTTCTAAGCGAGCACAATAATTTTTTTTTTGTACAGGAATGTATATAACGTGTGAGTATGTATTGATTTTATACAATTTATGAATATGTTTTTGTTATTAGATAGTTGAATGCTTATTTATGAATTTTTATTTGTATTATGTTATACAACTCAAATTAACATGATCATTTACTAATTTTTTGCCGTTTTTTTTTTTAGTTTTTAGTTTTTCTTTTTTTAAATAGCACTGCATACATCTATATAGAAGTTCGCTAACGTAGATTTAAATTAACAGCACAAGTTGTTGTGTACTGGTAATTAAATATGCATAAACAAATATTTGTATACTTTGCAACGGCAGCAAATCTTTGAATGGATTATTATTATGAAGTGTACTAGCACTTTAATTGTTAGGAGGTCATTCGGTTTGTCTTCTCTTCTTTCGATTCCAAGAAAACTCACTAGGGAGTCTTTTTTTTATATCAAACACTGTTTTCATTCCACATTACACTATCATCTCATTACAATATTTCTTCCATTTGCTGTAAAATTTGACTCTTTTAGCTAACAATTAATTTTCCGTAAATGAATATTTATTTTTTTGTAAAATTAAATTATAAACCCGCATTTAACTACCTTTTCTTTTAGTTTTTAATTTTTTCTTTTCATCGTTTAACTATATATGTATGTCTGTTGGTTTTGTTTGTTGCATAGTGTTTACACTTAAAATATTTAATCGGTGAATTTACGATTGACATTGCGACCGAACAAAGCGTTACGAATTTCTGGCACAAGTTGTTGCGCAATCAATTCTAATCTGGACTCCAGGGTGTTGGGCACCTTAAAATAAAATAAACGCATTAGTAATATGTGTATTATTATTCCAAGATAAAACTAAATCAACTAACAATTTTGATAACTAAAAAAAACTATAAATACCTTTAGACGTCCATTGAGCGCAATCAACTCGATTCCACCGCAGGTGTCTGCCGAAAGATGATTATCCGTATCAATATGTACATTTACATCTTTGCCAATTTGTTGCTTATATTCTTCAACAGTGGCGGGCAGCACTTCATTTATTAGACCAATATCGGCCTGACGGCAGCGTAGGGTGACACTCGGTTCCATGGCCTGGTACAGYGCTTGCAAGATAAGTTTCTGCAATACCTCTTTGTATTCACTGGGATTCTTGGTAACTTCACCAAGGCGACGACGTGCTTCATCTAACACATTGCGTACATGATCTTCACGCACTTTCAGTACCTAGAAGTTAACAATTAAATTATTAAAATTGTTATATTTTTAACTTGATTCAATTTTATGCGGTATGTAATATAAAATATACCTTCAAACGAGCTTGATTCAGCATATTCGATGATTGAATCTTCTTCTGCAGTTCAACTTGTTTCTCCTTCTTTTCGTAGTATTCCATAATCTTAAGACGTTGTTGTTGCACAAGACGTCCCTTCTCAATGTTAAATTCTTCCTCAGCTTTAGCATCAATTTCTTCAGCTTTTTCATTGGCTTCCTGCTCAATGAAAGCCATCATATGCTTGATCTGTATTGAAACAAATATGAATACATTATAGGTACTTCGATTGCGATTTTGAAAAAAAAACCTTTAATATAATATTTTTAAACACTTTACACCTACTTGTTCGAATCACATGATTCTCGTTTGTCAAAGTAAAACACATTTTTAGTTTCGTTTGCGCTTTCCATCTAAACCTCACATTTACTAGCACCATTTATTAAGATTAGCTTGGGCAATATTAATAGAAATGAATAGTAACTACTAGCCAGGTGGTATTTATTGATAAGAGCCTTATTTACAAATATGTGATAACACATTTATAAGGATTACATTTACACTCTTGTCCATCCAATAAGACATCCTTAACTATTTTAATAACCATTGTTGGAACTAGCATTACTTTCCTCYATACATTTTTTCAAATTATTAGCATTTAACAACATACTAAAATGAAATAAATGCCTTTCGTAAGCATTTAAGCATGCATTTATACTTCTGTTGTCTCTTTCACACTTATAACACAACTTTCGGTTGGTCACATGACTAACACCATTGATATTTAAACTCACAATCTTCCAATTGGATGTGAAAAATCTTAAAAATGTTAAAAAAATGCATTTGGGACAATTATATAAATTATCACAAACTTATTGGAAACCTATAGAAAATTAATGAGTAAACGTTGCACGATCACATAACTTGTCTTTACAATTTATCATACACTTTATGTCGTATTCACATGACATACATCCCATGACATGATGGCTGCCAAATTTGCTATCTTTCATTTTACTACAGCCACATTAAATATTTTATTCAATTATTAAAACTAATATTGAATAATCACTCAAAAACCACGAAAGGATAATCTAATCCGCAAATCCAATTTTACTCACCTGTTTTTGTACATCTGCGTCGCTGAGTGCCATCTTTGCAATTTTTTATTTTTTCGTTCACAGAATAATTTTCAGATTCCGCCGATGGAATTCAGTTTTCACAATCTCACGATTCCTATAAATTGAAGTAAGTACACTCAGCTTTAGTTTCAGAGTTTAGCAACCCAATTTTACATTTATCAAAAAAGTTATAGGTGTAAAAATAGCAGAACTGAAGAATT